GCGTAAGCAGACGGAAGAGTATAATGTAAGTCCATGTACTTATGTGTACAGCAACGCTACTTCCACGCTCACTCTGGTCTGGTTTTAACTAGTAATTGCCCTTTGTTTACACACACACACACACACACACACACACACACACACACACACACACACACACACACACACACACACACACACACAGGTACTCCATCGTTTAGGCGATGGCCTGTGGAGAATCCATAACTACAAATACACACACACACGCGCGCGCGCGCGCAGGTGCATGCCTTGTTGTGCAATGGTATGACCATCTATCTATGTACCGGTATTCTCGCTGCAACTCGTCTTGCGGAAACCGTCACAGCACTCTCCATCGATGCTTGTGTTCATTTACCTGTATCCTATGCTTCTGCAGAGCCTTCATCGCGGTCAAAGCCTAGTCACGATGCACCAGAAGAAGCGCAAGGCCGTAAGTGTGGGACCGTCTAGCTTGTCATGCCGTTGGGTTTTGCTATGTGCTGTGCATGGTGAAGTGTGTACACACGCCAGCAAGCGTCCTTAACTCCAAGAGTGTGCAACTCTGATCCCCGAGGTATGGATGCTCTGCGCGGCACGCTGCCTTCATTACGTAGTGAACTGACGAACAACCAGCCTGGATTTGAGTTTTCCTGCGGTTTAGCCGCACCGATTTCAGGCGCTATATGGTAAGATCAGAGGAAGTGCCTGTGCGTGACGCATCACATACAAACCCATCCGAAGTCTCCAAGGAAAGCTGGCTTGGGACTACTTCAAGTAGGTGGAAGCAGGAGACCGTAGCAGATCAATGACGCAATGGCCCACAGTTCAATGCTATGTAATGTGGGAAGTGTGCCGTGCCAGACCCTATATGCAGAGTTGCACGCTCTTGGGATTATGTACTTTCGACGCTAGTGTGACATGACCTAACCTCTTCACCTCATTCCTGTTTGGCGACAGACGTGTACTTGTACCAAAAGCGAGAACACAGTGTGCCAAGCACATAGACCCTTGTTTTCATGTACTGACTGCATGTGTGACCAAATGCTGAGGATCATGGTAGATCCCTGGAACTTCTGTGATAAAGTGCAGACTTGATGGATCAGCTTCTTATGTGTTGTTGCCATTGACTACCATCTGTGTGTGCCTGTGTCGGTTATTTTGCTTTTGCCAGGATCTTGAAATGGGCATTGGTCCGAAGAAAACCGTCCTCCAACCGTTTGACCCAGAGCGAGATATGAAGCCAGAAATTACGCTGAGCTCATCCGCCAGACAGAAGGTGATTGCCAGCTCGAAAAAGCTCGACACCCGATTTGAACGCAGCACCCAAGGCCACTACTTATGAACTCTTGTTCTGCTCCAGTTAAATGTGCTCGGATAACGTGTTGGATGGTGTGTGTTTTCATTTCAGAATTTCAGCATACTCTGCTACCCCCCTCAGACTTAGTTGTTACCCATTATTTTTATTTGTACGTAATTCTATACCTGATTTCCCCCTACAAGACAAGTAGAACAGGATAAATAATTCGTTGTGACTCAGAGTTTCACGCACGAGGCGACCATCAGACAGAGGCAGACAGCACTTTTGATTTCCTCTACACATTGTCTGCAGTGATCCACAGAGAGTGGTGGCGTGCCTACGGATGCGGAAAACTCGGCCTCCAGCCGAGTCTAGCACGAACCGTGATTTTTGTCCGCAGTGTCATTCTGGATGTGATGCTGTTCTGCAGTGGGTTCACTGTCCTATGACTACTATCACATGCACGTCGGGACGCACGCAAGCACAACACACACCCCAGACGTACTGTGAAATTGCATGATTGTTCGTTCCATATAACTTTTATTCCTTTTTTTTTTTTTAAATTTGGAAGCTTTCATGAGACCAAAATTTAATGTTTTCTATTCCAGTGCCAGCATGGTGTTAAAAAAGAGAGTTACTGGTGCTAAACACTTATTGTTTTGAAGACGTTGAAACCACTGAGTGCTGTTGAGACCATCAGGCCTGGGATCTGGGGATGCCAATGTAATTCCTTTATGTCCTTTTGGCCTTGATGAATGAAGAGCAATGCAGGGGGAACCTCATCACCACCAGCCATGGGCTTGCCTGCTTCCTTATCGGTCTCCAGGGACAAGTCCCACTGGACTAGCTGATCGTCCGCACCACTGGACGCAAACACACTGCTCTCGGATGGCAGCCATTCCACAGATGTGATGGCAGCCGTGTGATGCTTGAATTCTGCTATCGGCTGCCCGTCGCTTAGCTGCCGGAGATCCCAGGTACGTAGCACCCCGTCGTCACCACCCGTCACAAAGAACGGCGCCTTGCGGTTCCACGACAGCACGTTAACGTCCGCCGAGTGTGCGTTCTCCACTGTGATCATGCATGCTTTGCTTGGTTTGGCTCGCACATCCCATACACGAACGCTCTGATCGGAACTGCACGATGCCAGGACATGTGCCTGGTCAGGACTCCACTGCAAGTCTTCGACGGATGACTTGTGGCTGGCGAGAGCATGCTGATTTACATTCCATTTGCCAGCCTCATCGGGTTCCCAGATGTGAATGTGATGGTGGCAATCTCCGGATGCAAGTCGTCCGCCGACAACAGGAGACCAATCGAGCGCAAAACCTTCACGTTGATGACGGAAGGTGAACAATGGAGTGCCAGGCAGGTCGTGGACATTGGCTTTCTTCTTCTTGGAGCCACCGGATGCGATTGGATTGTCCACACGCTGTAGCATGGATGTCGTGTCCCACAGGTGAACGTGGCCGGTTTCGGCAAACGTCGCCACAACTTGTCGGTTCTCCACGCACGCACAGCGCACACGGTTCACAGGTCCGGTGTGTTTTACACGCGCCATGCACATCTCTGCTGTACTCTCATCATCGCTGTCCTCATCATCATCCTCATCGTCGTCATCTTCACTAGCCTGCTTGGTTCGTTCCATGCCATGCAGTTTCATCAGCATCAAATGGTTCTGTTTGGATGCTTCTGCTTGAGTACCGGCCACGACGAACGCAGTCATGGGATATTCGGAACGAGCGTCCCCAAGAGCATCCTTGACAAAATCAAAACTCAGGCACGGTGCCTCCGTCTGAGCAGCGTGGTATAGGTGATAAGCAGTACTGTCATAAACCAGTTCCTCGTTCTCCTCAATTGGTTTTCCTGGCAAATAGACATCACCAGCATCCATGGCTTCATCCTCAGATTCCGATCCAGAGGAAGACATTGCTTCATCCTCAGATGGAGAGGAAGACATTGTTACCTAGACCTACTGCTACACATCAACAGCCAACAAAATGCAAAGCGAATCAAGGAGATCACGCTGTATCCATGTACCATGCATGATGTACCGTAAAATCGAAAATCGAAAAATCTTTGAAGAATATGATTCTATCTTTTTGGCCACAAAATATTTTACAAGTGAAAAAAATGAGCGCGCATGCACGTGCTCGCGCCTCGCGGTGCGGCGGCGCTCGCGGAATGCGCGGCCGCGGAAGTCGTAAAGCATGGCATAGCGCTAGCGGTCATTTGGATCACGGGAGCGGATCTGATTTATTCCGAGGCTTCGAAGCTTCCTCGATCGAGGCAGCTACATGTACCTCTCCTGGCTGTAGCTTGGATCAGGGAGATGGCTTGGATCCGATGGCCCTTGCGGCCTTGGCCTTGGGGTAGTTATCATTATCGTTGGGACTTAATCTTTATTATATTCGTCTTCTGAAGCAAGTATTAGTTCTGGCACCAGATACTGATGGAAGTGTCACACTGACAGTCTGTATCGATTCGAGACAGAACCAGTAGTAGTAGTAGTAGTAGTAGTAGTAGTAGTAGTAGAATTTATAACCAGTCTGTGCTACCGCCCGGTTGACGATTCAGTCAAGTACTACACTCCTACACGGCTACAGTCATGTAGAGAGAAATAAATAAAAGAAGCTACCACATACAGTAAAACCTGTGACTACCGACCACCCCTTGGTGCCAGCAAAAACGGTCTTTAGTAGCAGGTGGTCTTTAGTTAGAGGTTTGCACCACGCGACCATAATGGATCCCATTATATGATATGTATATCAAAATGCAGCTAATACAATTCCCCAAGACTTGCGGAATGCCATTCTTATTTCAGGTCAAACAACACTTGGAGAGAAAGACGGAGAGAGACAGAGAGAGAGAGAGAAGATTAATTTTTTTGCGGACATCAAATTCAGCTTCTACTTCTGAAGCCAGGAGTCAAACGTTCCCTGTGGAAGTTTCGTTTTGGGCTGGGCTTCAAATTTGTTCATACGATCAATCGAATTGACTGTCCTTGTTGCGACTTCTCGATTGCTTGAATGCGATCCTCCAGCATCAGGACCTTGAGGTGCTGCTTTGTTTCTGGATTCCTTGATGCTATCGTCGATTCGTCTGTATGACTGGGGTGACAGATCCGCTCAGTCTTCCTTTCTCCTCCGAGTAGTATAACATCGATCAGAGAGCGCTTTCGATGCGCGTTTCCTATCATGTTTATTCTTGACATCGCTTGAAATTCTGACAGGTGTAGTGCAGTCCACACCGACTCCACAGAGAGTCAGTCAAAATGACCTGCGTTCATTTCTTCAGCTGTGGTATCGAAAGATTCCTTTCCGGACCACGGAAAATCATCAAAATTTCAAGAAGGAGCTTCGAGCAACATTTGATTTCCTACATCGCGGTCGCTAGTTACGGGTCAAAAATCGTCTTTGGGACAAGAAAAGGCGGTCGCTGGTCGCGTTCAGCAGGTAGTCGCTAGTCACAGTGAATTTTGAATGTGAGACCGTCCGTACCTGGCGAAGTGGTCTGTAGTACCAGGCTGGTCGCTAGTCACGGTGGTCTTTAGTTAATGTTCTACTGTAGTCTGTAGTCACATTTGGCAATACATACCTCAGACTCTGCTGATGCTTTCATCCTGTCGCCAAGAGTACATAACATGGTTGTGTACTCTTGCTGTCGCATAATATAGTAATAGTTTTTTTCTCGTTTTGTGTGTACTGAACAGGCACTTGATCTTCAGAAGAGGACATTTGTGAAGCATTCCAAAGTATTCAGCGACACGTTGAAGAAGTACTTCCGAGATGCAAGGTATGAAAGGAGCAGAGTAGACTGAGCTCTGCTTACTTCTGCTGACATGCTGCTCACGGCCAGTGGAGCTATCCCGTTTAGATGGTCATGCTCTGTAACACCAGACTGTCGACCAACAGTACCGTTAGGCGTTAGCTGGCAATGTCCTATTTCCATTTTGAGGTTGGGTGATGTACATAGTCATGTGTGTGTGTGGGGGGGGGGGGGGATTTCAAGTTTATGACCAGAAGCTAGACGAAATGCATGCTACTTCCACCGGGCCATATTCCTCACTTGAACATTGCATCTTTGCAGGCACAGCAATTACCTGATACGGGGTGGCACCTTATAATAATGGTCCAAAGATGCTAGTAATAAAGCATTTTAGAGGGGATCGTATGAGGCATATTACAAAATAGTGAAAATACTATGGCACCAGTCCATGGACAACCGAGGGCAAAATTCACTTTGGACATAGTTGCTAGCGCTCTGACCGGAGCATGTCACGCGGCGGCCATTCTGAGAATTGCTAAAATTGCACATATGCAATGCACTGGACATATATAGTCTTGAATTGTTCGCCATTACTTTGCCTTGCAAAGACCTCGTCTCAACAATAGTTTCGAGCTAATATCCAACCGAAAGCACTGTTGCAGACCGTTTTCTTGGGTCCTATCCGGCGTTAGGACGGCATGCAAGCTATCATTAGTCTTGTCCTTCTCCATGTTTGTTGTATTCTGTAAGCATATTTTACAGGCTCCCATGCCACTATCTGCCTTGAATCATAATGCTGCTCCTGAATGAGGTTACTAGTTTTGATGCAAGTACCGGAACATGACATACTTTCGGCCTACTGGTATGCTTGATGTCAATACCAGCATATCTGTGTGTGTGTGTGTGTGTGAATTTCTTCAGAACGGATGACGTGTTCGTGAGCGCCAATCGCTTGATAAACCAGACCAACACGCTGCTCCGCCTGTTTCGCATGGCCAGTGGACAGCCATAGTCATGAGCCTGCCTGCTGAATGGCTACCGTTGTCATGTTGCACAACCGACGTCAATCCTTATAGACAAATTATAATATTCTAAATTTAAGTTATGGAATTTGATAGTATTTTACGTGGAAATCAGTCTCGAATTAGAACATTCTGGCTTCTTTATTGTCCCCTTGAAGGCATTCACTGTAAATATTGAAATCCCAAGCTCACTGTGTTGATTTCGAGATAAAGTAGTGCTGCACAAAAAGTTGAAGCACCGTAAGATTCGTGTTCAAAATGATAGTGACGTGAGCCTGTTCACAGTCTGTAGCCCATAGACGTACACACTATTTGTGTGTATTATACACGATCATCAGGCAACAATGCATGCCATGATGACTGACGTCATCAATACAAGTCTTGTACTCATTCTCCCTCTGCATGACCAGATGACACCAACCAGTTACCAGGTTACCTAGTGCAAGGCAAGAGCTCCCATCTTTACAGACTTTAGTACATGACTGTACTAGTACTAGTACTCGTAGACTTTACTCTTGACACTGATAAAAGACTGCCAGGAAGAAGATGCACGTGATCAATAATCTTAATGAAGTGATACCCCCGACACAAACTGCACAAACAAGTGTGACATTCTTTGAAAGTTTACTTTTGGCTGACCGGTTTCACTACTAGGAGTAGATCATCAGAGTGAAGAGTAAAGTGGAACGAAACACAATTTTATGCTCCCACTAGGTGGGTAGAAAATGTATTGACACATGTGGGCCACCAAAACGCTAGGGGCCCCAAGGGCATTGGGAAATGCTACGGTAATACGGTCATGCAATGATTGCACAAGGTGTATGTGTGTCATGTGTCATGAATGAAGTGCGCATGCAACTATGAGTACTATATTCATGAGGTGAATTGAATTTTAGGCGGGATCCAAAGCTTGGACCCCGCCTAAATGCAGGCGACTAAGCCTGCAAACAATGAAAGTATGGAGAATGGAGAAAAGAGAACAAACATTTGAAAATGTTTATCAGAAACCAGCTTCAGTGAAACAATTGTTTCGTTTTGCGATAGAAGATCTCAACATTGGAAGAGGAGAAAGATTCTGTTAATATCGTTCTAAGACGATTTCTTGCAAAATGCGGGTGATAGGAAGTAACAAATGTAATTGTATTCCTGTTGTGGCTGGTCTTCGCTTTCTTGGCAGCAGAATGATGTGTAACACGAGGTTCAATATTCATGAAGATAGGAGCCAAGAAATGTGGAGGATAGCCTCTGAGCCTAAGTCTGCACCAAAAACGCTCACGGATAGTAAGAACATCAGACAATCTTGAATTAGTTCTATTATATCGACAGAGTTCTGCAATGATAAATGAGCGGAAGTTTGATTTTGGGTGATCTGACTTATACGGAATGTAAAGATAAGCATTCCTGGGTTTCTGATATGTACGATACAGGACATTACAATTAGTCTCTGATTTGTCTAAGAAGAGTTCTAAATCTAGAAAGACACATTCATCGCTAACATTTGACCAGGTGAGGTTAATGTCAGGTAAATCTGAATAGAGAGACTGTTGCAAGGATTCTATGCTGAGCTTATCATCTATGACTAGGAAGAGGTCGTCAATAAATCTTTCAAAAAGATAGATGGAAGCTTTAAAGATAGACAGTGTTTTCTTTTCGTGGATGAAAAGGAAGGCATTTGCTACATTGACCGCCATGGGAGTGCCCATGGCCATGCCATGTTCTTGATGATACAAAACGTTTTCAAATTTGAAATAGTTGTTTTTCAGAACAAAGGCAATGAGTGCAATCAAAAGAGGCCGCAATGGATGCTCAGCATCTTTCAAAAACTCATCAATTGCAGAAATTGTATCGTGCCAATTCATGTTTGTGTAAAGACTGACAACATCAGCTGTAACTACTTTGCTGTTTGCAGGGAAATGTGTATTTGCAAGTTTAGAGATTAGACTATCTGTGTCAGCAAGTACAGTGTTGGCAGTTTCATGAATGATGTTTTTAAGGTGAAAATCTATAAATCTAGAAGACGGGGAGGTGCAGTATCCAATGCAAGAGACAATTGGTCTACCGGGTACTAAGCCGTCAACAAGTTTTTTGTGGATTTTCGGAAGCATATAGAATTTAGCTGGTTTAAAAGGGAAAGAGCTAAATAATGCAGTGACATCACGTTCAGAAAGTAGGGCAGAGTGTACTTTACAAATTTCTGAGAGGTCACGGTGTAGAGAATCATGCAGTGCTTGGTTATCTGAAGATACTGGAGAATAATATTTTCTGTCAGCTAGCTGGCGAAGGCCTTCTGCTATGTAATCTTCTTTGTTTAAAACAACAGTGCCAAGATTTTTATCTGCTTTAGAAATAACAATATCTGGTCTGTTTTTTAATAAGAGATACGCTGATAATTCGCTAGGGGTTAGATTATGTTTACGTCTTTCTTAATGAATCTTAATGAAGTGATACCCCCGACACAAACTGCACAAACAAGTGTGACATTCTTTGAAAGTTTACTTTTGGCTGACCGGTTTCACTACTAGGAGTAGATCATCAGAGTGAAGAGTAAAGTGGAAGGAAACACAATTTTATGCTCCCACTAGGTGGGTAGAAAATGTATTGACACATGTGGGCCACCAAAACGCTAGGGGCCCCAAGGGCATTGGGAAATGCTACGGTAATACGGTCATGCAATGATTGCACAAGGTGTATGTGTGTCATGTGTCATGAATGAAGTGCGCATGCAACTATGAGTACTATATTCATGAGGTGAATTGAATTTTAGGCGGGATCCAAAGCTTGGACCCCGCCTAAATGCAGGCGACTAAGCCTGCAAACAATGAAAGTATGGAGAATGGAGAAAAGAGAACAAACATTTGAAAATGTTTATCAGAAACCAGCTTCAGTGAAACAATTGTTTCGTTTTGCGATAGAAGATCTCAACATTGGAAGAGGAGAAAGATTCTGTTAATATCGTTCTAAGACGATTTCTTGCAAAATGCGGGTGATAGGAAGTAACAAATGTAATTGTATTCCTGTTGTGGCTGGTCTTCGCTTTCTTGGCAGCAGAATGATGTGTAACACGAGGTTCAATATTCATGAAGATAGGAGCCAAGAAATGTGGAGGATAGCCTCTGAGCCTAAGTCTGCACCAAAAACGCTCACGGATAGTAAGAACATCAGACAATCTTGAATTAGTTCTATTATATCGACAGAGTTCTGCAATGATAAATGAGCGGAAGTTTGATTTTGGGTGATCTGACTTATACGGAATGTAAAGATAAGCATTCCTGGGTTTCTGATATGTACGATACAGGACATTACAATTAGTCTCTGATTTGTCTAAGAAGAGTTCTAAATCTAGAAAGACACATTCATCGCTAACATTTGACCAGGTGAGGTTAATGTCAGGTAAATCTGAATAGAGAGACTGTTGCAAGGATTCTATGCTGAGCTTATCATCTATGACTAGGAAGAGGTCGTCAATAAATCTTTCAAAAAGATAGATGGAAGCTTTAAAGATAGACAGTGTTTTCTTTTCGTGGATGAAAAGGAAGGCATTTGCTACATTGACCACGATACAAAAGTTTAGAGATTAGACTAGCGTAGATCAGCGTATCTCTTATTAAAAAACAGACCAGATATTGTTATTTCTAAAGCAGATAAAAATCTTGGCACTGTTGTTTTAAACAAAGAAGATTACATAGCAGAAGGCCTTCGCCAGCTAGCTGACAGAAAATATTATTCTCCAGTATCTTCAGATAACCAAGCACTGCATGATTCTCTACACCGTGACCTCTCAGAAATTTGTAAAGTACACTCTGCCCTACTTTCTGAACGTGATGTCACTGCATTATTTAGCTCTTTCCCTTTTAAACCAGCTAAATTCTATATGCTTCCGAAAATCCACAAAAAACTTGTTGACGGCTTAGTACCGGGTAGACCAATTGTCTCTTGCATTGGATACTGCACCTCCCCGTCTTCTAGATTTATAGATTTTCACCTTAAAAACATCATTCATGAAACTGCCAACACTGTACTTGCTGACACAGATAGTCTAATCTCTAAACTTGCAAATACACATTTCCCTGCAAACAGCAAAGTAGTTACAGCTGATGTTGTCAGTCTTTACACAAACATGAATTGGCACGATACAATTTCTGCAATTGATGAGTTTTTGAAAGATGCTGAGCATCCACTGCGGCCTCTTTTGATTGCACTCATTGCCTTTGTTCTGAAAAACAACTATTTCAAGTTTGAAAACGTTTTGTATCATCAAGAACATGGCATGGCCATGGGCACTCCCATGGCGGTCAATGTAGCAAATGCCTTCCTTTTCATCCACGAAAAGAAAACACTGTCTATCTTTAAAGCTTCCATCTATCTTTTTGAAAGATTTATTGACGACCTCTTCCTAGTCATAGATGATAAGCTCAGCATAGAATCCTTGCAACAGTCTCTCTATTCAGATTTACCTGACATTAACCTCACCTGGTCAAATGTTAGCGATGAATGTGTCTTTCTAGATTTAGAACTCTTCTTAGACAAATCAGAGACTAATTGTAATGTCCTGTATCGTACATATCAGAAACCCAGGAATGCTTATCTTTACATTCCGTATAAGTCAGATCACCCAAAATCAAACTTCCGCTCATTTATCATTGCAGAACTCTGTCGATATAATAGAACTAATTCAAGATTGTCTGATGTTCTTACTATCCGTGAGCGTTTTTGGTGCAGACTTAGGCTCAGAGGCTATCCTCCACATTTCTTGGCTCCTATCTTCATGAATATTGAACCTCGTGTTACACATCATTCTGCTGCCAAGAAAGCGAAGACCAGCCACAACAGGAATACAATTACATTTGTTACTTCCTATCACCCGCATTTTGCAAGAAATCGTCTTAGAACGATATTAACAGAATCTTTCTCCTCTTCCAATGTTGAGATCTTCTATCGCAAAACGAAACAATTGTTTCACTGAAGCTGGTTTCTGATAAACATTTTCAAATGTTTGTTCTCTTTTCTCCATTCTCCATACTTTCATTGTTTGCAGGCTTAGTCGCCTGCATTTAGGCGGGGTCCAAGCTTTGGATCCCGCCTAAAATTCAATTCACCTCATGAATATAGTACTCATAGTTGCATGCGCACTTCATTCATGACACATGACACACATACACCTTGTGCAATCATTGCATGACCGTATTACCGTAGCATTTCCCAATGCCCTTGGGGCCCCTAGCGTTTTGGTGGCCCACATGTGTCAATACATTTTCTACCCACCTAGTGGGAGCATAAAATTGTGTTTCGTTCCACTTTACTCTTCACTCTGATGATCTACTCCTAGTAGTGAAACCGGTCAGCCAAAAGTAAACTTTCAAAGAATGTCACACTTGTTTGTGCAGTTTGTGTCGGGGGTATCACTTCATTAAGATCTAGACTAGGAGAAGATGCTTGGTATTCGCCATCTCTCCTGAGAAATGTTCAGCAAATATTTCAAAACATACGACATTATTTCGTTCGCTAATCTCCACTACTCGTCGTCTCACCTGGCTTCAGAAGATGTTACGAGAGATAGGAGAGTCTCCAGCAGGCAGTGCATCCATCTTCAGGAAGTGGAAAGAGCAAACGGCATGGTCCTTGGTTGAGGTAAATGCTGAACGTTTGATTTGTCCCAACCAAGATTTCAGCACTTGGTTCGTCACGATTTTCGCTTGCCAGCTAACGTCTCCGCACTCCAGCTTTCCCCTGTCGGTGTCACGTCCCAGTACACAACGGAGAGGACTACTAATAAACAGTTCACGGCACTAACAGCATTGAACACAGTACTTCTTTCACTTCGTGAATACAAGAAGACAACTGAAAATGACACAATTCTGCAGTGATCGACCTTCTCTCTCACGGAGCTAAGCAGAATGTGCGTCATCACCTGTAGTCGCCATGGAAACGGGATCAGGAAATCGGCGATATGGCAAGTTTCCCTTGCCGTACGCAAGCGAGAGATATACCATCGGAACCGATATCCAATTGTCTTTCATCTGAGCCCTACTTGAAAAATCGATGCACTTCCCCTTTAATCCAGTATCAATTACTACCATTGCTCTCTATCCGTTGTGGTCGCTTCGGCAGGCTACGAGTTTGGTGGGCAGAGTGGAGGTGGTAAGTGCTTCGGGGAAGGCCATTCTAGTGCTGCCAGCGGGTGGCGGAGGAGTGCCCTCACTCACATAATCATTGACTTCACCGGCAGGCGCTCCATAGTTGATCTCTGGGACAGTATGAAGACTGTACATGTGCTACGAGCAGCTGTACTGGCAGCAATAGCAGTGTTGCTCCTGAATCAGGTCAATACAAGCAGCAGTAGCGACTATGGCCAGTATGGCCAGTATGGAGCAGACCTCACGCAGCAGCCAGCGACCAGGTTCAACTACTTGTCAGGGATCAATCCCACTCAGCCGTTTCAGCCCGTTGTTCGCAGTCTGGGATGTGCGTCAGCTCACTTCACCTCCAACAAAGGCCAGAATGCGTTTTTCGTGCTCCACGGCTCCTGCTTTGCCGGCGACGAGCCTCAAGCCACGTGGCTGTACTCGGTAGGACCCAACACCTGGTTTCGCAGCGAGCCCATATTTGACAACGGCACGGACCCGAGCCGGCGTCAAGATCACGGAATAGCAAGCCTTCCGGATGAGACAGGCATAGCAATGTTCGGTGGTCGTACTAGCAGCAGCAGCAGCGATGCATCACTATACAGTGACACTTGGCTGTACAATGGAGATGATCTCTGCTGGCAGGCGCTGGAGAACAGTGCGAAGAGTCCATCGGAGCGTTACGCCAGCGGCCTCGTCGGCTGCACTATGTCGCATGGATGTGCGGCCAACAGCGGCGTGTATCTGTTTGGTGGCCTGAGCACGCCAACGGAGGCCGGTAACATTGCTGCTGCCACATCATCATCACCGCCGACCATGCTGAATGATTTGTGGAGGCTGGACGCGGATAGAGCTGCCGGCTTGGCACATTGGTCGCAGCTCACTCCCGTCGCCGACCCAGTGCACGGGTTTCCTGCTGCACGCGGATACCCGCGAACAGCGGTGGGCCAGGCGGCAATGTTCGTGTGCGGAGGTCTGCAGTACGACAACGGCAGCCGTATCATGTACCTGCTGGACCTGTGGCAGTTGACAATGTCAAACAACACCTGGAGGCGGCTGAGCGACATCGACGTCAGCATGGACCCGTACGACTCGTGTTCCGTCGCCGGTCTCAGCTACGTGCCGTCCGATCAGGGAGTAACGCCGACGCTGATCGCCTTGCTGTCGTGTACAGGTGACTTGGAGATGAGAGTATGGTCTTACACTATAGGCACTGACAAGTGGGATGGCGTGTGGTATGTGAAAGGCGATTCGCTGCCACCGCCGTTCGTGCAGCCCATCGCCCAGGAGCACAGCGAGCAGGTTTACATCTACGGTGGAATAGACAGCCAGTCACGCGTGTATACTGGCTTGTGGGTGCTGCGCTACAACACAAAAGACAGTACATGCGTCCAGGCCGCCGCTCCGGACATCCTGCCGCCCATCGTGTCGCAGCACTCGGCCTCGTACCTGGAGAAGACGCGAGCGCTGTACGTGTATGGTGGTGTGTACCCGACCGCCCCGGCCTTGCCCGGTCTGGCGCCGAGTAGCATCAACATTGCCGACGAGCGTCTGCATATCTACAGCGTGCAGGAATCTATGTGGACAAGTGTTCTGCGGCCTGGCATAGCACGCTTGGCCGCGCACACCATGATCTCCTGGGGGAACTCCCTATACTTGTTCGGTGGCTTTGACACTGATGGAGTGTCTCAGTCCGGCCTGTGGAAGTTCAACATTGCCAGCCTGACGTGGAGCAATGCCTCATCGCCAACGTACACATTCCCGCCTCGGCAAGCCCATGCCGCGGCTCTAGACCCAGAGCGGGGCTTGATGTACGTGTATGGCGGTCTGTACTCGGATGCCTTGCACAAGGTCATGGTTCTCGGTGACCTGCTGGTGTACGACCTAGCCGAGAGCACGTGGAGTGAGATCAAAGCTGTCGGCGCACCTCCACCAGGTGTGTTTGGCCATTCAATGGTCTTTATTGATGGCAGCCTGTATGTTTTGGGCGGTGCAAGCATCGACGTCACGGCTGACGGTTATAATGTCTCGGTCGTGGAAGATATGTTCTGGCGTTTCAACCTGAAGACACGGCAATGGGAGAACCTGTGCTACTGGGTCGACCCGTCACTGTTTCATCCGCTTCTTGCGGGACGCTTCTTCACAACGGCTTCTGCCAAGGACAGTTCTATTCTAATGTTTGTTGGTGATTGCTGTGATCCTATCTGCATGCTCACGAAAAGCGACATACCAACAACAGTGGAGCTGAATTCGCATACAATTGCACAGCGCTGCTGTTCGAAAAAGACCGGAGAAATTCATCCTCGCGTATGGCTGCTGTCAACAACTGACCATCTGTGGATGGAGCTAAAGATGTCCTATTCATCCTCGGCGCATCACTCGCCCATACGGCATGCTGGCCATTCGTTGACGAACGTGGAGGATAAGTTCTTTGTGCACGGCGGCCTGTGTCGTGGTGAAGATGACAACACGCTGTGCAGCCTTGCCCTGCCGACCTATGTTATACAGCCTGGCTGCAATGCTGGATGGTACTCGCAGCATGTGTACAGTCAAGCATGCCAGCCATGCCCTGCCGAGAACTATTCAATGACGGCCGGTAGCATTGGCTGTGAGTCGTGCCCACTCGGCTCCTTCTCGCAGCAGAACGGCTCAACCAGCTCCCTGCAGTGCTCTAAGTGCCCCCGTGATATCTGCAACGACGCCGGCGATTGCTCTGTCAACAGTGCTACCCACGAGATGGAATGCAACTGTGACTTTGGCTACGATGGTATGAACCGCTGCCGTGTTCCGGCTGTGTACCTGGGCATTGGCGGTGCGGCTGTCTTCATTCTTCTCCTGCTCGTCTTGACCTGCTTTCTGGTACAGAAGTACCGCAGCAAGCGCAGACAGGATGAGGAGAAAGAGCGGCAGCTACGTACGTGCAAGCGTGAAATCGCCAGTCTCAACTCTGTGTGGCGCATCGAGGCTGATGAGCTAAAGCTGTCGAGAAGAATCGATGAGGAGACACCCGGCAGTTTTGGTGAAGTGTGGATGGCAGTCTATCGTGATATGCAGGTAAGACGTGTTACTTGCGGTAAATACTAAAAACTAATGCAATAAAACTCGGATGGAGAGCCCAGGACTAAAATTAAAAAAAGAGGACCATAAAAATGTCATGTATGTCACTATGAATGTCAGTGTCAGTTTTGTGCTGATTGTTGCATTATGTCACCATTATCCTGCTTATAATCGTTTGTGTTGAAAAAAATGGATAACTTGTAAACTTATGGTCCTCTTTTTTTTTAGTACTAATGCAATCCTTTCGATATGCTATGCATTTATGTTTGTGGTCTTGAATTGCTCTCAATACTGTAAATATACAAAATTTCGGCGCTGCAAAATTTCGGCACTTCACGATTTTTGACATTTCGGCGGCGATTTATTTTCGGCGTGGGGTAGAGGGCATGGTATAGTGCGACAGATGCTGTGAAAAATTTCATCGGCGTTTTAATTTAGGCGTTTTGGGTCGGTGCCGAATATAGCCGAAATTAAATAGCTGCCGAAAATTTGTATATTTACAGTAACTGGGCCTTATGCAGCAAAGAACATTTGTAAATGAGCAGTTGAAGAACATACTATTAAAAAAATAACACGTGCACACTCCAACACACCACCACGGGCTATCACCACCACCACCACCACCACTGATGCACTACCACCAACAACAACACTGTCGTGGCCTAAGGCTGAGTGTCGTCTCTACGTAACTCCGTAACCCAAAGTCCGTTGGCACAAAATATATGTGCACTTCTTAGTCCCAAACCCAAGCGTAGAGGACAACACAAAGCACAAGCAGTTAGTTGTGGATTCAGTCCAGGTTCAATAGTGAGGAAGGGTGTTGCGCTCACTCAGTTGGGTCAAACTCTCTCTAAAGGACTAAAAGGGAAAGCAAGCCCTAATAATTATAGTAAAAGGGAGTAAAGGAAAGAATAGAGATCGGGGAATTGGGAGGTAGGGTAGTGATAGCAGCGAACGAGCTGTGAGCTGTGCTAAACTAACTATTGCTAATGATGAATTGGAGTAACAAAGCGGAACAGCAGACCAGCGGACCGGCAACAGAGACAATAGATGACAGTTCCATGGTAATGGGTAGTCTAGGTCCGGCGACAGGAGAGGTTGGCTTATCGCAACCAAAAGAAAGAGCAATACACTAATGGGCATTGATGAGGGGCTGCGGTAGAGGTAGGTGACAGGGCAAACAGGCTGATAGTGAATGTGTGCAGCACTACTATACGGTTGTATTGATGAGTAGTACTATATATCCAGGGCCATGACACAACCACCACAACCACCATCACTTGCATACTAGAGTAGTTGGGTATCCACAATGACAAGGACAAATACATGACTGTAGTACAATAACTATGGTAACAGCATCCTGATGTGTGTTTCAAATGGTTCCTAGTACATCCTAGATAACTGTGTACCGGGGAGTATTAAAAATACCAATTTTACAACTCCCTGCTGTACTACTTTTCAAGTGCAGCAATGTGGCACTGTTGTTGGTATGTGATATACTGCTGTACAGGTCGCCTACAAGCAGCTTCGGACGCAGGTGTTGGTGGCCGATGCACAGGCCCTGATGGAGTTCCAGCGCGAGGCCGAGTTCATGCGCACCATCCGTCATCCGAACATCGTGCTCTTCATCGGCGCTGGTGTCATGCCGCCGAGCAGCATCGGAGCTGCCAGTATTCCGTTCCTGGTGGTGGAGTACATGCCACGCGGCACACTGCTCTCCGTGCTCAACGACAAGACAGTGCACATCGATCACCAGCAGCGTCTGCGCATGGCACTGGACATTGCCAAGGGCATGCGCTTTCTGCACGGCCTGACACCACCGCGCGTCCATCGCGACCTGAAGAGCGCCAACCTACTGGTCAGCGATCACTTTGTAGTCAAGGTGAGCAGAGAGCACTTCTAAACGATTACACTGCACTGATCAGACTTCAGGTTAAGCTGCCACGTGATAAAGGAATGCAGTTGAGTGGCACTCTGGGGGAAATGTGTACAGATACTGCGGCCCTGGAAACCAGCTGAGTGGCAAAAGTGATAATTATTTTATTGACATCTGAGTGGCAAAAGTGATATTTTACTGACTTCTGAGTGGCAAATCATGTACTACGGTGAGTCATTCGCATAACCTCTATACACATACTTGCAAGGCAAAGTCTTGCACAGTTGGGTGGGTGCGTCATCACCATTTCAGTCCTCACTAGCCGTGAGTGCGTTTGCATTGAACGCTACACCGTAATTATGCAATATTTCACAATCTGTAGAAGGTGGATTGTGTGATGTGAACCGCTAATCATCACAAAGGACGGTGTGTGTGACATGTGCACATCTGCAACAAGGAGCAAACTGCAAGAAGCTGACAGGCGTAAGAACACCATGTCCGAACGTGATTACTTCACACTGTCCTTTTACCACATCGATGCAGTAAAGAGACAGTGTGAACTGAAGAGACAACTTCCTTCACACAGTGCCCCAGGTGTTTGCTATGTGACGCTTGCAGGCTGAGTTTACGGGACAGGGCGCCAATCAGTTCTATTGCCATGGTTCACTGTCGACTCAATGCCTTCGTGCTACTCGATACACCTAAACCCGTCATATTAATACTTCAGTATTTACATGAATTTTGTTCGCACCACAGTGCATTCTCACTTGCAGTGCAATCATGTACCCTGCATGAAGCGCTGTGCTCAGTGCACTTTGCTGGCCAAAGGAAGTGGAGATTTTCGTGTCTGTCTGAGTCGTCAAAAGGTCCACACAATGGTTGTCTTAACAAAAGTCCTATAAACAGCCCCTACGTTTCTTTCTTGTCTTCTAGTACACCTCGGTAACAACTGAATTCAAGAACAGTCCTCAACTTTGTTTCTCCAGCCAAGCAGTATCTTGCGAGCCCTCTAATAAAGTCTGACTCTCTGTAATGTGCATGGTTACCACTCCTGCTCAGGTGTCTGATTTCGGTTCGGCTCGTTGGATACAGAGCATAGAGGAGTGTCAGCAGGTTTCCTCGACGGGCTCCATGACGCGCAGCATGGCAAACTCGACAACATCAACACCGATCAATGCACGCTTCCTGACCAAGTCTCGGTCAAACAGCAGCCGAGAGTATGACACCGAGCGAGCACCACTTCTGCAGCCGGATGCACTGATGTCAAGCGATGTCGGGACTCTCCTGTGGTCTGCACCGGAGGTTCTGTCGCAGAGTGCGTACGGCGCAGCGGCTGACGTTTTCAGGTAGGTACCGTGGATCCGTACTTCTGCACGCACCTGAAGTGAGCGAGCATGCGGTTGGTCTTGGAGCCTAGCACTACAACACAGACACACATAGTTCATGTGAATATGGCAGAGTCTGTCAATGGGGAACATTCTGATATCGGGGCCACTGCCTATCCCAGAGAACCATTCAAACCATGCAGGGCCCGGCAAAGATCCACTGACATATCCCTGGGTAGTGGGGTTTCCTCAGTGTCACATGCATCATGTGCACTGTAACTTAGCCAGACGTTTGTGTAATTGTAGAGTGTCTGTTCACTTTATCTGAGAACACGGACATCATGTGCGCTTTGCTGTTCTTTGTAAGAGACGTTCAGTGTCACACCTATCCACTTTGAAACTTTTGTCCGCAGCCGGGTGTATTGGTCTCTGTCTGTCAGAGTGTCTGTCTGTCTATGTCTGTCACTCTTCTACAGTGTGTAGTTCTGGCAATGCCGGAATCTGAGACGATCTATCCCCTGAACTTATTAATCTGCCCCACTGCTACAGCCACCTTATAATGTAGGCTTACGTGGCCCCTGCAATACTAGTAGTTGTCACTGCTCTCTCTCTCTCTCTGGCCTTTTCCCTTCATTATTCATTGGTAGGGTGGTGTTTGACCAAAAAACAAAGCGATTTTGGTGTGCATACCTGTATGCCTCGGATGTATATGATTGTGTGCGTGCATGTGCGTGTGTGAATCTGTGCACGTGTGTGTGTGTGTGTGTGTTTGTGCACGTATGTGTGCATGCATGCTCTCCGTGTGCAGCTATAGCATAGTGCTGTGGGAACTGTACACCAGGAAGGAGCCTTACAGTCACACCGGCTACAGATTCAGTTTTGACTTCTCGCGCTACATCCTTGAAGGAGGACGTCCAGAGATGGAGTCCAACGGCTGGCCAAAGGACTACCGTGCACTGGTCGAGGAATGCTGGATGGAGGGGGCGGAGAGGAGGCCAAAGTTTGTGGATATTGTTCCCAACCTTGACAACCAACTGGAGAGATGCTTCTCACAAATGTAGGAAGGAATTCCGTCTAAATTAAATATTTTATTCACCTCCAGCTTCCGTTGAATGGGGCCTATGTCAGTGACCATGTTTTTCATTTCAGGTTGACTCTATCTTGTAATCATCTCTTTGTTGAGTCACGACAAACGTTTTAGCACAATTTAGGGTGTAAAAGCATTAGGAAAATGTCTCATTGAGAACTTCAAAACTTGAGGTTTCATGCATAAGGGCAACATCACATTTCTGCTAATTTTTACCCAATCGGTAGCATACTATACTATTATTCAATTTGCAAATCTATAGGCAAAGTACGATCAATTGATTTTTCCCCTCACAGAATTTCGTTATGCTGCTTATGCATGCTAGAAATTTACAGCCATCTCATCCACACTTTCTCCCACCACGTTAGCCTTGAGGTACATATATTTACTACTTAGCCGTGTGTACAATGTATATCGGACACCAGGGGTTTTTAGGGCTTTATGATCAATATTGTTTTGGTAAACTTCTACAATATAGTATACCTATTTTAGTTTCACAGCACCATAATTTGTTTGTTGTCTCGAGGCTAGCAGGCCAGCCAGTCTTATAACAGTGGCAAACAAATTGGATGGCCCTCATGAATAAAACAGCCGTCCAGGGGCCCAGCCCTTTCTGTGTATTCAAAATAATCTACCGTGAGCGCTAATGGACGTAGTCTTGCACTAGCCAGCTAGTACAACAGCTAGATGAACGAGAGCATGATAATTGATAAGCATTCAGCAGGTCTGAAAGAAGGGATGTCATAATGCAGAAAGAACAAGAGCAAACATAACTGACCAGAAAAGCCAAAACAGATCTGTGAACATGCAAAAACAAGAACAGCTTCTGAAAATATCGTGGCCTGTGTACTAAGTACTGGTATTGGAAAAGAAAGAAAGAAAAAAAAAGAACGAGCGTCCCCGGGTGGGCTTGAACCACCAACCTTTCGGTTAACAGCCGAACGCGCTAACCGATTGCGCCACGGAGACATCACACTTCCCTTGCTGCTGGAGCGGTCCCTACAACACGGAGAGCCAGCTGGAGCGGGCCCCACACAGTACTATCAGTATTCAAGAGTACATGAAAACACGGTTTTCTTCTTGGTATAGTATAGTAGTACACTGACACGGAGAGATGGACCGGACTGGAGTCCACTGTACAGAGAGTGCAGCACCTTGCTTCAACTGTAGATCTACACATGAGCAGAACTGATGCAGAACTGATGCAGAACTGATGGGTTTGACCACAACCACAATCATGTATTTCAAGCGATCCTGTCAGTCTGCTGTGTGTGACTGTCAATGTCACTGTCTGTCAGCTGGTTTTTTTTTATCACAGGGATCAGTCAGTATCACGGCGGCGATGGTTGATGATCTGATGCTGGTGCACCGGTGACCGTTTGTGTGAACGTTCTGTGCGCGGGGTTACCACAAAGTCCACAACATGCAGAAATCGTTTCGACCCGGCACGGGTAGAAACCGAGTCCCGCAAGATTGTGCTGAGTCGCCTCACTGTCCAGGGTCAATGATAAATCGTCAAAGAGCAACGTAATTGCACTGAGAGAGGGAGCAGAGACAACACGTGAACCCGACCATGTTTCCCCAGCGCTAGGCTACGGTTGCGAAAACACAATGGTTTCAAGGATCAAGTAAGTTCTAAAGAGCCTGGTGGACCCTAGATGAGTCCAGGCCTCTATAACCATGATAGCTATACGTTGAAGTAGCGCTCAGCACCGTCGGATACTCCGCTGCCGTCTCGAATACGCAGTCTCAGCTGTTTACCGCGGAACGAACTCTCGGGCTCCTGCTTTGGTGACGACGATGGCGGGGACGGAGAGCCCGTGATGGAAAACCTGGGGAGAAGGGATGTCTGTTGGTCAGAAGGACGGTGGTCCTGCACCTCAACATGCACTGAACAACCTTCCTTCAACATGTTGAGTTCGTCGGCGGCAGCAAGTAAGTTGACCACACGCCTCTCCACCTGCACGGAGGGAGAAGCATTACAATGAGTCGAGACACATGCCATTGTAAAAACACGTCTTTCAAGTTTCAACCTGCATGGAGGGAGAACCATCACAAGGAGTTGAGCTCTTGAGACACATGCCATTGTAAGATAGAACATGAAGAACAATTGTCACATGAAGGTATGGTTTCTAGCCATTGGGCTAGTTCCGTCAGCAACACACAGGGCTGTGTGGCAATCTGGCATTGTATTGCGAAAATTAGCAATTCAAACCAGGAGACAATTTACCAGCTAGAGTAGCATCATGAGCATCACCAGCACATGCCGATAACTAATGCGAACAACAATAGGTCAGCACATTGAAGGCTTGAAAAACACAAGGGTTTTACTGGAAGACCAGTGAAAGTGCTGCACACACACACACACACACACACACACACACACACACACACACACACACACACACACACACACACACACACACACACACACACACACACGGCACATGCAGAGCCTGCCAGCAGCCATGGTAGCAACGTTACGTACCTCGTACTTGAGAGACCTAGCCCCATAGTGAGAATCATAGCCGTCTGCAAGCACAGCAGGCAAGCTCTCGTCCCACGACAAGCTGATCTTGTGCCTTTCGTTAGCCTGAAAAACACACAAGGATACAGTGAACACACGCAACACATTCTTCCACCTATGCAACCAACACACGTGGACAACTACAAGTAAACAGCAGCTGAAAGAAGAGACAAAGGCTGTTCTTTGCTATGCGTGTGAAGTTCGACCTTCGCTGCAGTGCACACATGTCAGGCCTCAGTGTTGGCAGTGTTGTGACAACACAGCACTTGGTCTGAACTTCTTCATGAGAACGACTTGCACAAGGCACAGCTGTCATAGATGGAGGACCCACTGAAGTATGTTTTAAAGTGCTGACCCAGGCTTAGTGCTGCATGTCACTATGTGCCATTGTCACTGGGCGGCGGTTTCATGACCGTCCACCACACCAGCATTCTGCAAATCAACCAGGTCAGGTCAGACTATGATCTGGGTACTGACACAGTTATGCTATGATGTGCTAGAGGCAGCACAACGACGTACACGCTTGGCCCATGTCTTCAACTCCTTCTCTGTCAGGTGCAGTAGCTCAGAGTTGCTGAACGGTAGAAAGTAGACGGTCTCGTTGATACGTCCCAAGAACTCGTCACGGCCAAAGAAGCGCTGTGTAAACACATACACAAAGAGAGAGAGAGAGAGAGAGAGAGAGAGAGAGAGAGAGAGAGAGAGAGAGAGAGAGAGAGAGAGAGAACACACACACACACACACACACAATCATACGGTCGTCAAACACAAGCAGGACACAAGCCACCGTTATCAGCACTCACATGAGTCACAGTAACACTACGCCTGGCAGCAGTATCATGGGACAACCCTCTATCCGTGCATTGCACACCAGACAGAAACACTACGCCTGACAGCAGTATCATGGGACAACCCTCTATCCGTGCATTGCACACCAGACAGAAACACTACGCCTGACAGCAATATCATGGGACAATCCTCTATCCCAGCATTGCATACCAGACAGAAACATGGCGTGAGCGCAACTATAGCCAGTTTCTGCAATGCTGTGAACATAGGGACACTTTGGCCACACTAGGTTACCGATTGTTTCAGTGAAATGCAACAAATTTTACTGATATTGACAATGGCAACTGGGCTGATCATCAAGCAAGAGGATACACGGAGAAAACAGGAGCTGGCAAACTATCAATGGCCAGACAAAGATGGCTGTGAAGCACACTTACCTTGAGAATCGGACGAACGACCTTGTCCTGAAATTCGCGAGACACCGATACGCTTTCTTTTACTTCTCTCGCTGAGCATGAACAAAAGGGCAAGCGCACAGAACGGCACTCAATCGATGAGCGATCCAGATTGTACAGCCTTGTTTAATTAATAGCCACACGGTCTATTGCACTGGTACTGGTACCAGTAGTTCTCTTGCTATGCAATCATATCCTGTAAACCGGGAAACATCTGTGTAGATCTTATTTCGTTATTCGCAAGCACAGACCAATTAGCTGCTGGAAATGTTTGCTATTGCCACACGGTTTACAGTAGCATACTGTACCTGATGCTTGCTTGTTTGTTTCTTTTATTCAAATTCGTCCAAAATAGTCCTGTTGGCTGCGAAAAATTGAGCATTAGGCCATGGTAAAAAATAAAGTTGATTCTCAGGTCATGAGCCTGTGAAAATCGGTGCGAGCGAGCGATTTTTTATTTTAATTCCCACAATTTTTTTATTTCCAAAGATAGGGTCACACATGTGTACGTCACAGGTTCATAATTAATTTATAATTATTTTATTATTCAGGCCAGGGAGTAGAAAAATACCGGTATTTTACTACTCCCGGATTCATGCCTTTCGCATTGACCGTTTTCATGCACGCATAGAAATAAAAAAAATCGTTGGTGCGCCGCCAAAAATCGATGCGCGCGTACTTGAGAATCAAAGGTATTTTTTACCATGGCCTTACGAATGATTTCGGGTTTGGACCTGTTACTTCACACATTTCGCCAAGGCATATATACCTGATGTACTTCAAGGTGATCTAGCAACACCTGGTTGAATAAAAAAATTCACGACATCATTTCAGTGTGTAATGAAGGCAGCGTGTCGCGAACGAACACCCATGGCTTACAGATCAGATCTGTATATTCCTGCTAGTACAGTCAGACCTCGCATAACTGCACATATCCATTTTCCAAAAAAATATCCGGATAGGCGAGGGAGCCGGATAACCGAACACACATCCCGAGTCAGTCTTCATACGCATGTGGCATATCCAAAGGTGTAAACAGCGATTTTCTTCCAGATGGCGAGGGATCCGGACAAAAGAGGACCGGATAAGCAAGGTCTGACTGTACATGTAACCTTACCTTTCTGCCGGGTTTGTTGTAACTGCTCCTGGCCAGCAGCTTCCTTGCGCAGCTCAACACCATGAGAGCGAATCTCGTCCGCTGCCAAATTCGAGGTCATGATGAAAATGGCATTCTTGCAGTCAATCGTCTTGCCCTGCCCGTCCGTCAAGCGCCCCTGGGAATGAAAAGAAGGGACAGGTAGCCGGAGAGATTGTTCGTACTGGTACAATGAGAAATCCATGAGAAACGGGGCTCGCACACATACTGCACAAGCAAAACATTTATTTCAGCGAATAATTTCGTCCAACACCAAGGAAGGGCAGTTCGTTCAATTGAAAATTTCGTCCCAGATCATGACACAAATCGAATGGTTGGACGAATCACCATCAGTCTGGCACGTAACTTAGTTCAAAACTCCTCGGACGAAAAAGACGAAAACTAAATCCAGACGAACATTTCTACTTATACAGTAGACCTATTGCAGCATTGGCATCACCGAACTTCACATGCATGTAAGTTACCTCATCAAACAGCTGAAGAAGTGCTGTCAATACATCGGGATGGGCTTTCTCAACCTGAAGCAGTGCACAGGCAGACATTGACATACAGATGGGGAAGCCCAGTTTGAGATCCGACCAAAGTTGACAGTGGAAAACAAGAGTCAACAAATGCAAACATACATTCATACATGAGCGCAATTCGTGAGCATGTGTGGCTTCGCGAATTCTTTGCAAGAAAGCGATTTGGGGCACTTCGTTTGGGATTTTTAGATAGGCAGGGAAACAACCTTTGCGCCCACCACAAAACTGTATGCAAGCGCACTCATCACACAATAACAATATTGATTTGATCGATTCACTTCATTTGGAGTGGTGAAAATCCTGTATCATCCCTTAACCACAATACATGTACCAGGTCCAGCACCCGCACTGCCACCACCAGCAGCAGTAGCACCCACAACACCACCCATTAGCTGGCTCAGTAGTAGCGTGATTACATCAGAACGACAGTGATAGTTCAGTCCAAACTCCCACCATCACACATGCGCACATACTATTGATGAACGAACCGAAGGCTGTTGCTTACTCTCCAGAACAAAAGCGAAGCACGAAAAAATAGACTTACCTCATCAAACAGAACAACAGCTTCCGGGAACTTTTGCAGACGCGATGTCAGCTGCCCGCCTTGATCGTAACCAACATAGCCTGGAGGAGATCCAATGAACTTCGCAACCTTGCAAACAAAACAAAGGAGATATCCAATTGAAAAAAAAAGAAAAAGAAAGAAAAGATGCAAGTGTACACGTGGACACAACACAATGAGCCTGGGGAAGTGCAACACAACAGAAAGTAACAAGAAGGGAAAAGAAAAAAGAAAAACATGTAGCAGAGGATGGTTTCGATCCATCGACCTCTGGGTTATGGGCCCAGCACGCTTCCGCTGCGCCACTCTGCTCCCACAATTCTTCAGCAGTGTACAACTGACCATGTACGCGCAAAGTACATGAAGCGGAGATTTGATACTGCACTACATGATCACTACACGATCACTACATGATTACATGATATATGAGTGCGATCTGTGCAATCAGCAGTGACAGTGCCATGACGTCAATATGCTGTAAACGATGAATTACACTTTCCTAGGCCAATACAAGGAGCACATGTACACTGGTGCGCTGGCTGGTATACGCATAAGTATGGGACTGCGTTCAATCGGGAATAAGGGTCAAACTCTAAAGCACAGCCTCCTTGGATTCAAGACCATTCGATCCAGAGGACTACATGTTCTGAACGTTTCATCTTCGTCCGTGCTTCAATAAGAACGCAGTGATGTTTCCAGTAACAGCTGCAGCACAAATCTATCTACATGAGTAAAGCGGGATTCACAGAAGCTTTTTGGCGATGCGACACGCGATGCGACGCGATCTGCGACGGACGCGTGCGATGCGAACTCGCGAAATACCATTCACAGAAGAAGTCAGTGATGCGACAACATCTTGCTGATTTGGCTACGTCACCATGATATTCGCGCGGTTTGATACAACTTGTACAAATTTATAGGCAACTCTTGAACCTTTGTACAACTTTGCTGTAGAAAAGGTCAAAATCGTACGCCAAATCGCTTGTCGTATCGCATCGCAAAAGTTGAGCCAAGCTCAACTTCTGCGATGGCCTGCGATGGCCCTGTTGCGGCAGTTGCGTGGGGTCCGCGATGGTTGCGATTTGGGGATTTCCCGGTTTCGCGGCTGTCGCATCGCGTGTCGCATCCCAAAAAAGCTTCTGTGAATCCCGCTTAAGGTGCATTTTTTTACGATTTTGGTGGAAGTGCATGCACGTAAATTAAAAACGAGAGGCACAGTAACCGATACACTGTGATTCACTGTGCGTGTGTGTGTGTGCATGCATGTGTGTGTGTGTACGCGTGTATGCGTGCACGTGTGTGTGCGTGTGTGTGTGTGTGTGTGTGTGTGTGTGTGTGTGTGTGTGTGTGTGTGTGTGTGTGTGTGTGTGTGTTGCCCTAATGATGCTCTAAAATGGTGGCCACAATGACAATCAAAATAGGTTGCCAAACGATGTTGTCAAAATAACCGCCCAAGACAGGTTTACATATGCCAGCATTTTTAAACTTCCCCCTGCAGGTAGTTCTCGACACAAATCAGCAGATTCCGAGAGAACGGGGGCAGCAGAACATGTATATTGACGACTGGCAAACACTTACTTCATGTTTCTGCTGGTACTCGGACATGTCAAAGCGGATGAAAGCCTGCGCACACAGAGGCAAAGACAATCTGAACAGAGAGCACAGCAAGTGTCCAAGCTTGACCAATCAAACAAACTACATACATGTACGTCATGTACCGCTGGCTTGAGAACTTGAAGATGAAACAAGCATACACGGGTGAATGATGCAATTGTCAGAGTGAACGTATTCAGTCAGGAGAAACAACACTGTCGCCCCATAACCTCCAGGACTACGGAGTATGGTAGCTGATGATGCTGAGCAAATACAGAGCAGGGCTGCCCCAATCATATACAGAGCAGGGCTGCTCCAAGCATATACAGAGCAGGGTTGCCCCAAGCAAATACAGAGCAGGGCTGCTCCAAGCAAATACAGAGCAGGGCTGCCCCAAGCAAATACAGAGCAGGGCTGAACCAAGCAAATACAGAGCAGGGCTGCTCAACGTTGAACTAGAAAGACCGACAAGACTATTGAGTGAGTGAGCAAAGTAAAGCCTAGGGTGGACCCGCTGTTCTTACATCCTTCTTGTCCTTGTGTAGGTATTGTGATACTTGCTTTGCCAGCTCTGTCTTTCCTGCACATGTTGACACACACATGCACGCACGCATACACAGACACACATAGTAATATTATAGATACACACAGAACATACACACAGGTACGTACACATACGCAAACAGATATGGACAGACAACACATACACAGCCCGCTAATGATATCTACTAACTGGTTACTAGAACAGTAGAAGTCCATCAGGCGCCATTCAACAATGCAAACAAGCGTGTCTGGGCAAGTTGATTGGGGATAAGCTTCAGAACACTAAAGCAACACGCCTACTTGTAAGAAGATCTCCATAAAAGTGCTCAGCTACCTGCTCGCCTAAACTGACTTGAACAATACAGGTGAAACAAAGCAAGTGTGGCAAATAGCACAATTCACAGTGCAAATACAAGGCACTATAATTGCTCCAGATAAGTGCTCATATAGATGCGCTATTAAATTATAATATAAAATAGCGCATCATATGCGCACTAAACTGGAGCAAATATTATTTTCAAGCTCAATGGTGCAGGTGCGCACTATACTCCAATTATGAAAAAGGCACACACTACAAAAAGCAGTGTGATGTATCAAACTGGTGCGAGATTTGCCCTCTCTGACCTGCCATATAAGCCACTGCACGTACCCTACATGTACACATTCGCTGGTTGCCTGCGAGTCTGCACCTGTACTGTAAAGTTTCGCAAGTACAATGACGATTGTATCACTTTTAGAAGTCCACAGCTACATGTAGCTGAAACATTGTCCAGACTATGCACCATAGAGTATCCTTATCAGAGCAGTGTACATCGTTGTGCCTTGATCAATAGATCATCACACCAAATACTGCAAACAGTACTACTGCAGACAGCAAGTTACTCGTACAGTGCACAGTGGAACCTTTTCACTATCAAACACCCTGGCAGACCCACCGGACACATCTGGCCTGCGTAAGGAGGCAGGAGGCGTCCTTATAACACAGTGCACCAGAGTTCGAGCAGGTACAGCTGGAACGAGTGAACTAATGTGTCCTGAATGTAGAGGAGAGCTTTGTTGAGAGGTGTCCATTACGGGAGCCTCCACTGGACAATGAAGCCTGCGTTTAGCGACTAACCCATGCCATGGTGCACAGACACCGGCCACTACAGGCAGGTGGCCTTTCTTGACAGGTCAGAATGTATGTCAAGGGGCAAGGCTAGAGGCCTAACTCTAGCTCTATTGTCGCTATGGCTGGCTATCACCAACATCACCTTTTCATTGGCTAGTGCCACGTGATTGTGGATAAATAAATAAATAAATTGATCAGTGCCAACAACATTGCACTTGGCAACTACAACCACCCATGACTGGCCTGCAAACGCTGAGCTCTTGTGTGACGTCATTACCTTGACTTCAGTAACCAGGATAATTGCTACTTCTGAAGTACTAGTACTACAGTCATTGTAATACTCATTAGTTCGACGGAGTTGAAAAACGTGAAGAAAAGTTTGACCGTCGCCACCAGGACTCGAGCCAGGGGCTCTCTAGCTTATGGCCAGCGATGCTCTACCACTAGCTATGGTGCAGTCGTCATCCAAGCTGCAACCGTTCAACATTTTCTTCAGACTTTGAAACAACATTGTGACTTAAAACTTACCGATGCCGGATGAGCCAAGGAACAAAAAGACCAGAGGATGATCAAGATCGTGCCAGCCACTTTGCTTTCGCCGCACCGCTGTAAGAAATGGAAACATGACGGGGTGTGCAAACAACTACTGAAGTAATAGTACAGCAGGATGAGCCACTACTAAAGTTGAGGGCATGGAGTTTTTTATTATTATTTTTTTACTACAAAGCACTGGCCAGCAACATAAAAGGGGAGGTAGACAAAAGTGGACAAGCGAACTTTGACAACACAGAGGAGCGTGGCATGCGTGCCGATGAGGTAGGTCAACCTCCCCCGACCTAGTGGTCTCGGGTTCAACAGTTGGTCTACGCATCAGGAAGGGGAAATGGACAGAGAAAGGGAGAATGAGCATGAGGAGCTTCCCAGGAGAGGAAGAGTGAGAGAGAGAGAGAGAGAGAAAGAGAGAGACAGAAAATGATAATAATAGAGACAACCGGTTATTCTCAGTGCTGGTGGACTTCAGTGGCCCATAGCCAATTGGTCTGGCGGAGGTGATGGTAGGCCTTGGTTTTGAATGTCGGCAATTTCTTGAGAGTTGGGCGTTCGGCGAGGATTGGGGCAGGCAGTGTGTTCCAGCTCTCCAGGACAAAGTATGGGAAGGAGCGGCGGATGAACTGGAGTGATCTGGGCCAGCGCCCTAAATGCATGCATATCACCGTGTATCACTGTGTAGAGAGTTTGTGGTGACTTCAGCAACTCCCCTACCTGTAACTTTCTCGTTGTCACTCCTGGGTTTTCCATAAACGGCGACGTTGATTTTTGTGGCCATTTCCCGGAATTACAGGGGTGTCACAGGGCGGTTGGGAGTGGTACAACCGGGAGTCCGGGGGTATCCCCCGGAGAAAAAATTCGGATTTTTCGGTCAACAGGGCACGTTTTAGCATTCTACAGCCGCAAAGGAGGGTTCCCCAGCCCTTATTAGACAACCCCACTCCAGCTAAAAAAAAACGCTTCTCATGGATTTTTTGGGTATTTTCTGTACATCATAGCTAGGTGGCCAAGGCAAAAAGGAAGCCATTGCCCTCGAAAAACTGGCAAAATCCGAAGTACAGTTCTAGCGCCAGCCGCTGTGCAAAAACGTAAGTCATGTCCTGCGAAAGTGCGCCACGCCGCATGCACTAGTCAATAGAGAGGTTCTGCTATACGTGAAACGCAGAGAAATCACGTATACGCGTAGGCCCGGCGCCCGGGAACTCTCTTCGCGTTCCCGTAACGTAAAGAAAAGCTGTTAACGTTCTGCTCTACGTTCACGTAGAGAAATCACGTGAAATGTGTACTGGGACTTTCCCCTTCCATATTTGGTAGTTTTCTGCCTGCAGTTGATCGATACCGTACCCGCGTACCCGGCAGATCTGTACGCATTTTCTCTGCGTGTGCCACTACGTAGAGAACCTCATCTCCGCGTAGAAATCTGGAGCCAAAACATGCGAAACCGTAGACTCTAACCCAGACACCTGCTCTCTACGTGATTTCTCTACGTTTCACGTATAGCAGAACCTCCCTTATCGTACAGTCGCGAAGATGTTACAGACCAGTCATGTAGTTGTTTTTAGAGAGAGAAGATCCTTTTTTTTGTTCGGTGGGATTGAAAGATCTGCCAGTGGACCGGAGAGCTACAACACTGGAAGCAGAAGAAAGGGCTTGCGGAATCTTCTCTGTCTTCGTGGCAACAGGACTTTAGTTTACGAGAGCTAGAGACTTTCGTCGCGGACGCAATTCGTGTTGCTGCTACCAGAAAATTCGGAGAACGAAACGATCGTAAGTCGTTTGGTGAAGCGGGTCGTGTCGGTGAACAGATGCAGAATGTTCTGCCGCCGTGGAACAGCAGTCCAAACACTTTTCAACTTCGGAGAATGAAGCGCTTCCCTATTCCGTCGACAAGCGCGGCGTTCGCGGGTGTAGATGTAATGCATTTTCGCATCAGCTTGCAGTAGATCGTCAGGAGACAGAGGTGTACTAGGTAGGTGTCGTTGTGGAAAGAATATAATTATTATGTTGTAGCTGACAAGTGACATGCTTGTAGTGTCTCTTGACCGTGCTGATCGCCATTGTAACATGGTAGATCTTGGAAAATTTTAGTTCCGGACCCAGTGATCGCCGGCGCCGCCAGCACTGTTTCCGTCAAGTTTGCAGTGAATGCGTTCGTGAAGAATCCATCATCTGGTTGTCTCTACCCGTGACTCCAACCGCCTATCGCAATGGATAGCCGCCTGGAGTCTTGGGGTGCTAGCTGCTAGGCATCAAGTCGGAACCAAAAGTATGCTCCTTGGAATGAAAGTACATGTAACCAAGAGTACTGTATAACACCTTTATTTCGGTGTAATTTAAATTTCGGTAACTTAGGTACTGGTCCTGGATCACCTAATAGGGCTTGAAAGTGCTACGTCACAGCATAGCAACAATTTCAAAAATTCAAAAACTGGATCCACTTGGATCCAGTTTTTGTATGGATCCAAGCACATTTCAAGCGGTCTTACCCACAGCATGGTGATGTAGCCAGTGAAACTGACTGATTTGGCTACTGGGGGCGGGGTTACAACTGGTGGCGAAATAAAAGTCACACCTGCATGCGACATGAGTGGGTTGCTATGCACCCACATACTTAGGCAATAGCAAAGTCACACCTTAGTGGATCCAAAAATAGAAATCTGATGTCAACTTACTACTCCCTGGCCGTTTTGACGTCATCACTTTCAAGCCCTATTTAACATTACACCTAAATTTTCCGAAATACCAAAAATATGTAAAAATCATGAAAATCACTCTCAAGTTAAAAAAATCAACTACTGCCTACCGGTAGTACATGTACATTGTACATACATAACATGTACCGGTATACATATGTGGAGCCTTTTGGCCTTGGCGGAGATATTACTGCAAGAGCTTTTTTTTTTTGTTTTTTTTTTGTGCCATGCATACCGAATTTATTCTTACACCGAAAGGTCAGGGGTTGGCTTTTACCGAAATTTTACAACACCGAAAATAAGGTGATATACAGTACATGAAAACCGTTTTCATGTACTCTTGATGTAACACGTAACGTCGTTAGTTGTGATGTTTTGTACAAGTCCGAAGATCCTTGACTTGATGATTTTTGTATTGCTTTTTTGGATGGGTGGACCATCCTGGACGAAAAGTGGTACGACTATGGTCGTAGTACTTGTGGTCGTACCGTGTGTGACGCCCCTGCGTAGATCTACGCTACGTATCATTATGGTTCCGATTCCAGATGGTACACATATATCCCACCATGCATCCTCGTATTTCGCCGTAGCGTATCTGTACTGTATATGGCATTTACACACTGTCACTGTACACCCTTTTCCTTACTGGCCAACACATACTCATTCTCCACCTTAGCTTTAGGGGGTGATTATATGTGCAGCTCCAGCCCGGGCTGGTCGACAGGCGGGCCAGCCCGCCTCCGACGGGATCTCGGGGTTGTACACAAATCCACACAAAACCTGTGGTGCGTTTACATGGCAAGCGGGCTGGCCCGGCGAGGCGGGATCCCGCCTCGAGGCACCCGGGATCCCGGCTAGGCGGGCCAGAAAAAGCACATATAAACAGACCAGCCCGGGCCAGAGTTGTATTATTATGGTATCGACACTGCGTTCATACTTCAAAATAGGTACTTTTACCTCTTGAGGGAAGTTATAAAGAGGATTCCCGATATTGTCTTGAGAATCTAGGAAGCTTTTTGTACAGCAACAAGAAGGACGTGCAATGAGCACTGTTTATTTGTCGACATGCATGATTTACATTAAAATGGAAGGGGTACTACTTGCAAAATACTTTGATATGGACAGCTAAAAATGTGAAAAACAGGAAAAAGAAACGAGGTGATACAACACACCAAACATGTGTCACAGCGCGAAAAGAAATCAGCAGAAGAATACATTGAGTGGGAAAAAAAGTTTTTAGGTTTATAACCTGAGTATGGCTTGCAGCCCTGCGTCTCAGCCCGGGGCAGCACATTACAGTCGTAGTGTGTTTGCTGCATACTCACAACGGGCTGGCGTGTGCTCAGCGCATATAAACTCACTGCGGGCTGGCGACCAGCCCGGCCTTGCACATGTAAACACCCTTGGCGGGCTGGCCCGCTCGCTCCAGCCCGGGCTGGAGTTGCACATATAAAAGGCCCCTAAGGCTAGTACTAGTTTGGTTTTCATCTAAGGTAGTTTGCCTTTCTATCCCTCTTTCATTGCTGTGTCAATATTACAATAAAAAATTACAACTCTACTGATTTACGCCATCTGTGTGCGTTTTAGAGTTGTGCTAGGGCTAGCAGTGTAGGACCCTACAAGTTCATACAAACACACACTCAGCTGGTGAATGTGTACTAGATATACACACACGCTGTGCCGAGATATTCAAGCTTTGGCTGAAGAGATAAGTACTACCAAGAGTACATAACCCCCCAGAGAGTGCAACGCCGATCCAGCTCTGCATAGGGTCTTGGTCGAGCGGAATCGGATCTTCTGATGTCATGCGTACACTCCACACCAGCGCAAGGCCGGCCGGTCTCGAGGCAGGGCACCATTGTTTTTGATCCGAGAGTACCCGCGACTCCCCGGGTTCCCCTTAGATGTGTACGGTATTATGACGCAAAGATCCAATTCCGCTCGACCAAGACCCTATGCAGAGCTGGATCAGGCGTTCTACACTCTGGGGGGGGTTATGTACTCTTGGTACTACCAAGAGTACATAACCCAAGAGTGTGCAACTCCAGCTATGGGGTCTGCGACGGCAGAACTTCACATCACGTGATGAACCCGTGCACTCTAGTGCATGATAGATACTGGGTTGTACGCAACCCAGCTTTGGGTACAACTCTCTTGTGGTCACTTTGCACTGTTTGCCAGCATAACCTTTTGAACCATGTCACGTGATGTGAAGTTCTGCCGTCGCAGCACAGCATAGAGGTTGTGCAGGCAGTTTCACACTCTTGGTTATGTACTCTTGGTACTACCAAGAGTATATAATGACCACCCAAGAGTGTGCAACTCTGAATATGGGATCTCGGAAGGCGAAAACTCACACCACGTGTCTCAGGTACGCTTTGTACTACGTACAACTAAGGATAGCGTGCACGCAATCCCAAAAATCTGCCATGATTATGTTGGCGAGTTGCATACGCGCAGTGAGTTTCTGCCAGGGAGTGCTTCTTTGATTACTTCGCTGCTCGCTAAAAAAGGGCTGGAAACGTACAACTGCGACACAACACCACGTGATGTGAGTTTTCGCCGTCGGCGTCTCGGCGAACCCCATAGAAAGGGTATCAGGAGTTGCACACTCTTGGGGGGGGGGGGGGTTATACTCTTGGTACTACACACAAGGGAAATGGGAGTACATTTCCTAGACCCTGACTAGAACTTGTAAGTTGTAACGTTTGTATATGGTGCCACATGCATGCGAGTACGCTCAGCTGCAAGACCAGCGCATCCGACTGCATACACATCGGATTTCAACGCCCACAACTCACTTTTACCGTGATACGTCTGACATTGTACATGTGTACATGTGTGGGCTGAGAGATTGAGAGGTCATTGCAGGTTGACATGTTCATTTTTAAACAAAAAAAAACAACATATCCGAGGTTCAAAATTGGTACTTTGAAGTTAGCACAGAAGTTCAAAGAATCCAGTGAACGTCAGTCTATGCCACACCAAGTGTGTCCAATTCCCACATATCCAACAGATAAGTTATAACAGCACTCTTACCGGCACTAACGACATTGATGGCATTATCTTGGCCGACAAGACGCTCATGAAGAAATTCCTCCAGCGGATGAAGCCGCCGGCGCTCTTTCTCCCTGGCTTGTCGGCGCTTTCCATACTAATAGAACACATGCGGGGAAAGAGACAGGTACAAAGCCAACAGTGTGAGCGCATATTCCAGCAAAGGAACTATAGCACAGTCCACGAACTGCTTATTGTGATGTGACGTGAAAAGTTACATGTATTTGTCAGTAGAACTGTAAATTGCATCGCCAAAAACCTGCTGTTGCTAAAAGTTCTGGTTCGTTAGATACACCTATGAAGGAATATTTACAGCAATGGATCGACCTTGGAAGGATCCAGGATAGAGCAAAGAGATAATCATGATATTGTAAAGTCAACAAATATTTGGCGTGTATTTATTTTTGACTATTTCAGCCCTGCCATGTTTGGCCGAAAATTTTGTTGCGGCCGAAATTTTGTTTTGCAAGGTTCAGGGTGACAGTGTACACAGGCGGCAGCAGTACAGGCCGAAAGTTTGATGCGGCCGAAATGGGTTTTAGCCCGGAGAGGCCGAAATTTGAATGGACCGAAAATTTGTCGACTTAAAGTACATGTACTTCAGTACTATCCAGTGCCGTAGCACTGGAGAACTAACCATGCCTTGTGCTTCTATAATAGCTGACTGCACGCCTTTGCTCTCGGCCAAGTGTATTGGCTGATGACCTTGTCGCGAGGCGGAGTTCGGGTCAGCACCAGCATCCAGCAGTAGTCTGACCACTCGCTCGCTGTCCATGATCAAGGCATAGTGCAGCGCAGTCAGTCCGCGTGCATCCACCCGCGGCGCGATACGCCGACAGAAGTGCTCTGCACGCTCCTTGGCCGCTGCACGAAGAGGAAAAGCATCGTTTAAATAGCTGACTTCAACACCTCAAACCAAAAGGTACACTATTCTCCACCTCAAATCACAGAGTCCACAGGAGTATACACGTAGTACAAAAAGAGGCAAGTGAATATGGATAGGACATGTCCAGGTGGAGCCCGGAAAAAATTCCTGACAAATGGTGACAACACAAACTACTGGATGATACAACAATTCTTCTCCACTCGCTATCACATGCGATGGTGTCCACTGCGCAGTGGTAGGATAGCAGCACAGCAGCAGATGGACTATAGGCACACGCCATACCGTGCTGGTCTTCACGCAGGACACCATACTTGGCGTACGCCGACATGTCGATGGAACCGGAGTACTCGTCCACTGCGTCCACATCAGCTCCAGCATCGATTAGCACTTGAACACAACTGTGCGGCAACAACATGTCAACAGACAATGTACAAGAACAGTACACAAATGTGTGAGTTCACACTGGAAACATAGTCATCTACAATTCAACTTTGGCAAGTACTACATGTAGTGGTCGCTGGCGACAATAGACACCCTTAGCAAAACAACGATAACGCTATTTTTTTACGGTACTCGTACCTTGATCACCCAAATAGCGTTGAAGCTGCAGCGTATAAACGTTATGGGGGCTGATTTATCGTTGTGACCAACGGCACGTATTTTGGCCAAATATCGCATAGTCCGTACGCATTTTACCTTGTATCGTCAAGAGTACATAACCCCCCAGAGCGTGCAACGCCGATCCAGCTCTGTGTAGGGTCTTAGTCGAGCGGAATCGGATCTTCTGATGTCATGCGTACACTTCACACCAGCGCAAGGCCGGTCTCAAGGCAGGGCACCATTGTTTTTGATCCAAGAGCACCCGCGACTCCCCGGGTTCCCCTCAGATGTGTACGGTATTAGGGGTCGTCCGTAATTATCGAAAAATTAAAAAATCCGTCCTCGTGCAAAATTGTCTCTGACCCACCCACCCACCCCCCATTTTTTCCCATTCATTTTTGATTTTTACCGGTGCCCAGCTCGAAAATAAGAACTCCTGACCCCATGTTCACTGATTGCACCTACATGTACATGACGTACATGTATATATTATGTCAAGTACTAGTAGCTAAGTAAAGTGAGTAGGAGGTCTACCGACGGCCATGCACGTCCTACAACTAAATGAAGAGTCATGTACCGGTATATCATACTGGTGTTTGCGATCCTACACTACGTCTACAGTGCAACAAGTGTATGAAAGTGACTGAAGAAAAAAAAAAAAAAAAAAAAAGGTACGAAAAATCAAAAAATTAAATTCCGCTAGCGCTCTTGACCACCCACCCCCTTTCTGCCTGAGGACGGATTTTTTAATTTTTCGAAAAATACGGACGACCCCTTATAACGCAAAGATCCGATTCCGCTCGACCAAGACCCTATGCAGAGCTGGATCAGGCGTTGCACACTCTGGGGGGTTATGTACTCTTGGTATCGTGTATATGGTGACAAAAATGGTTGTACCGCGCGAAATCAAAGCTATTCTCGTGGCAACAGCGTACTAAAAATAGCGTGCATCTTGCTAAAGGTCGAACCCAAATCACGGTATTTTGAACTATTTTCCCCCTTACGATAATACCGTTACAACATAACGTTTTTTGCTAAGGGTGTCAAATGACAAGCATAGGGTGGTTTTGCCAAGCAGCCTGCGACTTAAGCGTATACAAAAAATACGATGTTGAACCGACGCATGCACTGCTGTACACAATACGTGCCAGTGCAGGACGAAAATGTGCACAATCCAGCACATTGATGAAAATGCCCAACCAAACGCAACCTCAGCATCACCGATTCTACAGCCAAAACTAGCATCACCGATTCTACAGTCAAACCTGTTTGAACTTCCACGTTGTTGTACATAGTACTGCTCTGGACAGCCTCGATCTAATTCTCGCCCCCTGCCCTAAACCCAGCAGGGAAGCATGCAACATGGCGCGCGTGTGTGTGTGTGTGTGGGGGGGGGGGGGGGGGGGGGGTCAACGGTACTTTACGGTACCAACAGGAGTACACAACTCCGACGGGATAGAGAAAGTACCGCCAGTTGTACAGTCATCTGCTCTATAGGGTGATGGACTCTTGAGTCTTGACACCAGCTGCAGTGGAACTCACGTAGTACGTATAGTACGTACCCGGGTAAGATGTACACACAGTTAGTACGGTCCTTTTTCGTTGTGCACTTGTACTTGCACGGATTTCCCTACCATAAACGCACATACAAATGTGTATGGGTACGACATACTCAGATAGGACGTACAACTCGTGTATGACAGACTTTTGAGCGTGTCCCAACAGAGCTGGCCATGCGTACTAGGTACAGTTTGGTGGTTGTGTACACCTACAAAATGACAGCTTCGCTTGGCAGGCACGTTAGTATGTTGACAGTGCGGAGGAGACGGTACGCAGCGCAGGCAATCTGGTTTGAGGATATTAGTCACGTATATTTCTGAGCGCAATAAGTGATTTGGAGCATTTCGACATACTACTCATGTATTGGACATTGGTCGGTCCACGGGACTCAACTTTGGATCAGAAGTACCCCGGACAGAAAGGACTTTCTTCCACTACCCAAGAAGGTACACTGTACGTCTTATCAGAATTCTAGTGTACCAGTATAAACATTATATAAATAAAATCTAAAGAAGAACCTCTCTATTGCGCGGCGCCCTTGTACCGGACATATCCAGCCTGTGCGTAGAGGTGTTCTAAGTACAGAAACTGAATGCATTATGAATTATTTATGATTCTGTCCCCTTGGAAAAACGCGATTCCGCGGCCGCGGCAAATTTCGCAGAAGTTGCCATCATCCGCGGAAATCACGGAATCCACTCCTTTGCCCGCGGAATCTGAATTTTTTAGGGAAAATTACTAAAATTAATCTGTTTGAGCACATTTCTCTTGCCAGTGCAGGTCTCTCCATGATTCTTCACTCTTATTCAGTTTGTGACCGCAAAGGATAGTATGAAAAGTACTCCTTCATGCGACTAGTTGTCATATCCTCTACGAGGAGGGTGAAAAACGTGCAGAAAATGCCGCAGATTTTTGATTTTACCGCAGAAAATGCCGCAGAAAACCCCCCTTTTCCCCGCAGAATTTGCCGCGGAATTTTGAATTCTTCGCCGCGTTTTTCCAAAGGGACAGATGATTGGGAACAAGTTGAACAGAACAAAACGTGTCCTGATCGAGGAGGTGTCCGTTGATGAGAGGTGTCTGCTAAGGGAATTTGTAGGGGTAAACGAATTTTAGAACGTTCGACTAGGTTCGCTCCAAATGGGCGTTGAAGAGAATTATATTCACTACTTTTTAAAAGGTGTTTGGCGGAAATTTTCGGCCGTAGATGTTGAAACGTGGTGAAAGGCTACGCAAATCCACATTTAGTCCGAAAATTCTTTGGACGAAAATGAGAAATGACCAAATAAAATTCCCCACGTATATTTCTGCTTATACAGTAGGTACCTTGTAGATTGCTCTGCTGCAGCAACGTGCAGCAGTGTCCATCCCAGCGGGTGTTGCTCATCGACACCAAGACCGTCTTGCTTCATCTCTGAGAGAATCCTGAACACCGGGCATGCAGAACATCAAAAATGCATCAGACTTTTAGTGGCCGAACAATGTTTGCTACAAACGGACGAGGGCAGCCGATGTTTGCAACTCCATAGTGGCTGGTTTATTTTTGTTCAACAGCAACCTAAACCTGTCTTTCAAAACAACCCTGAACCAAAGTCCCACGCGGGACACGTCCTGTTGAGCAAGGCAGAAACTGCACACATGTTGGTTGGTTGTGCGCTAAGGTTTACAATCTTGAGAGCTTGAGAGCCAGATTGATGACATGCCAGAAACAACCAACCAAACAAACAGGTGGTCTTATAGTGAAAAAATAGTCGTTTAGTACAGGTTTTTACTGCACAACAGGGGCTCTTCTTAGCTACATGAGCCAGTTTTGCCCAGGTTGCATGGACTGGGGGTTCATCCACCAAATAAATTCTGCCCGTATTCACTGCACCGCACCACTTACCGGCGCAATAGGCGCGGGTTGTCGTCCCGGATTGCCTGACATGCGGACAGCCATAGTCGCTCGGCTGCACATCACATGGACACATGGTCACAAAAAAAAAGAAAAAAAAGATTATCACGGCAGACCTTCTAAAACACATGCCAGTGGGGCTAGGGCAGGGGCGTCGGAACCGGTCCGGCAGGTGCCGCCAAAGACGCACCAATACACTCAAATGTCTCTTATCCGGACGCCTCAGATACGGGCACATCTCTCTACCGGGCACCTTCAGCTTGAGTTGCTATTGCAAAGGTGCATCAGTAGTATACTTGCATCGTTTTCAGGGGTTTTTTCAATGGCGTGCGCGCACATCCTCATTTTTTAAACTCTTTTCACTGCCAACCTCTGTAATCTACACATTTTCAAAGGTGGATTGTTTTGTCTTGAACATGTGCAATACGTGCCAAACCAAATTCATCAAAAAGTGATATGATACATGGCACATGTGATTATCCTGAGCTAGACAAATCTGATATACGGGCAGTGCCTGGTCCCAAGGTGCCCGAATAAGAGACGTTCGAGTGTAATTTCATCTTGAGAGTTTTGAAGCAATAAAATATGGGCTATTTGGGCCCAATTTTCCAATTCTTTCCCACGGGAGGGCTCCCAGATCCCCGCCTCTTCATGGCCACACCCATGTCGAATACCTTCTGATGCCCCTGGAGGCGGTATGGCCTATGGGCCCAAAGGGCATGGGACTGTGTATCGTGTCGCAAATACGCCTGTTGCCTTGGGTCGCAACGGGGCAAGAGGTCTGTGAAACATTATCTGGCCGATTATCTGGATTCCAGCTGAAAAAACGTTCTACAGCCCATTACAAAACTATAGACGCGTAGGGTTTTTGAAATATTTCAAATTTGGCTGGACCTTTTTGAGAATAGTTTTCGGAATATTGCTCAGGATCGCTCCACAATTACTCTCATATAGTTTCTAAACGATTGGATAACAGACGCCCAATTTGGAAAAAATTATGCACAAAGTGATCACAGATTTTATGTGGTATAGATGCTGGCATAACGGTTTTTGCCTAGGTACGCGTCTATAGTTTTGAAATGGACTGTAAGTAGCAAGCGGACGCAGATTACTGTATAGCAGGAAATTTTCGGACGGAAATATTTTCGGACAAAGCCGAATTTCGACCTTTCGTACGGATTTTATTTTCGCACAGTGCTGCATGCTAAATGCACGTGTTCGCAAGCAGTACGCATGTATACTATTGTACAGTGTACATAATTTCACACGAACAAATTTCAGTACAGAATTTATTTTAGTACAAAAGAGGCCATGTACGAAATTGTACGAAATTAAATTCCGTCCGAAATTTTCCTGCTACACAGTATTACCGGTAGCACTAGAACAACGTTCATATTTCCACAGGCCAGGACTAAAGTCTGATTTGGAACATCAAGAACATACTACAATCATGTACTTTAATAGACTAGCATTTATTAAAATCACTTCTAAGCGGCATCTCTACCTACATGTATGTGGTCACTGGAGAATCGATGCCGCCATTGGCTTCAGACTAAGTGTGTGTGTGTGTGTGTGTGTGTGTGTGTGTGTGTGTGTGTGTATGTGTGTGTGTGTGTGTGCGTGTGCATGGTGTGTGTGTGTGTGTGTGTGTGTGTGTTGTGTGTGTGTGTGTGTGTGTGGTGTGTGTGTGTGTGTGTGTTATTGTGGCACCCAACATGTAGTCAGAGATTACTTCTTTCTCTGCTGACCTTTACTATTGTCACCGAAGGCAACTGTGGAGGGAATCAATGCAGCAGCCGATAGGACAGCTGTATACCGTGCACAGTATTGTCCACTGCGTGGTCGGCCTTGCACCAACGAAGCAGTCAAGAAACTCCTGCCAAACCTGAGGTTTCGAGCCGAAAAGGAGAAGTTGACGGCGTACGCATGGATGTTCGAGCACAGTGACCCAACCCTGGCCACAAATCTATACAGGTTGATCATAACGCGGCACGGGCCAGGCCCATCAAGAGGCCTGTCAGTTCAACTGCCGCTGTTTCTGCGGTCTTCTAACTCTGAAGTTGAACTAGCTAGCTCCTCTTTCCAACTTCCAAGTACAAAATGTGTAGGTAAAATGAGACATAATCATAATAATCATGTCAGAACAAACAGCATTTTTGAATGAAAATAATAATGCACATCGTATAGACGTCATGACACAAGTAAGTACGGTACTCATAATCACAACTAAACATGTGCTGGACATGTACAAAATCACCAACGTGACAACGTCATTATGATACTGAAATCGATGTGACATCATAATGACCGGTCGTGCATGGTACGGATGATGTAACATTTTGTTAGCTATCGATACGTAGATCTACGTACGAAAATTCTGATCAGGTGCGGACTGGGGCCGCGATGGCCGGATGGTGGCGCCGCTAATCCGAGACGGTCGGTTTGCACATTTCTCGTACTCTAGCGCCCATTTTCGCATTGAAATCAGTTTGCATTTTTGAAAGCGACTGCTGATTGGCTAGTTCAGCTTCATTTGGCGCGATCATTACGTCAGGGCAACCTGGCACATGGCGCAAGGCTTTCAGTTACTGGCTGCGTTGAACAATCAAGCCTGCTGCACATCGAAGTGTGAGTTTGCGCCAAAAGGGTGCTGTCAGCCAACGTTCAGTGTCAGAAGTCACTTCTTCAACTTTGGGTCAAGGTTTCCTTTTTCCAACCCTGTGTGTCTTTCTTCTTCTTTCACCTGATTGAGACAGTTTTGTTCTTTCCACTTGAGAGCTAACTGTTCAACTGGTATACAGTAGACCAGACAACCCTAGTACATAAAATAATAATATCAAACGAGTTCACCATGGAGGGTCGGCTGTAAGCTATGGCTGACAGTGTGCGAAGAACCGTCTACCCTCTCTTTTCGGCGTTCGTGTTGGGCGAGAGAAGCTGCAGCATTGGAGGCAAGTTCCTTACACACCTCTAAAGATGCAGTAGTGTGTTGATTGTGGAATCTAACTGGAGATAGCCTTCTTGTTGTCGTCCATGCAGATGAAGCTGCGGCAACTACTAGATTCCGCTCGCCTGGAACGCTCGCTGAAAAGAGCAGTGGAGAGGGAGGAGAGATTTATACCTGGAACATTGGAACAGAATACGAGTAGCTCACCAAAACAGGTATGCTTGTTATATGAGCACCAAGTGGCCTGTGCTTTAGGTTTCTGGCCTGCCGTCTTGTTTGTGAATGTAGGCGATTAGGGGAATGTGCTGTCTGTTGTAGGTGTGTGCTGAATCTGTTCTCGATGTGAGTTTGGCCAGCAGCTGTCATTCCATTGTACTCTTTTTGCGTAGGGGTTCCCGTCTTTCTACCCAGTGGAATCTCGCGCAGAGACTCTACAATGGCTCCGCCGTCTGACCTACGCAGGCTTTGGGTTTAGCCCAGACACATTCTCGCTGGCAGTGAATGTATTCGACCGATTTCTATCCATCGTGAAGGTGAGTGAGCCAGAGTCCAGTTGCTCTTGTCTTGGGATAGTGATTTAGATGGCTAGACAGTTGCGTTCCTCCCTGCTACCTCTCGGCGTTTCTGCAGTTCCTTCTGTCCTTTACTGGGATGCCTTCTGCGTGGACAGTTTACTTGTTCGGTACTTGTATGTTTGTGCTATGATGTTGACAGCTTTTGGGGAGTTTACTGGTTGTCCCGAGCGCTGTTGCTCGCGTGGAATTCTTGACAGTTCATGCCCAACTGGATCTTTGTGCCGTCTGGCGGTATGCTTGCCGTCACAGCTTTCCGTATTTCAAGCACTGTTGAACGGGGTGTGCTGTTTTCATGTCCTCTGCATGGCCTTGCTACAGAGTACAGGTGTCCAGGACATGTTGGAAATTTTGACATGCTGAGAAGGATCCGTGGGATGTTCGATTTCTGATGTCACTTTCCTTCTTGACTTCTTGGTGAAGCATTAATTTTATGAGATTCCTCGATCTTGTGTGGCGTATTTTGAATTTCCAATATGATGGCTCAAAATCAATGTTCGATGCCGTTTGTACTTCCTGTTGATGTTCAGGTGCAAAGCAAGCATTTACGCTGTATTGCCGCAGCATCCCTGCTCATCGCAGCCAAGATCTGCCAAGAGCCTGAGGTACTTCGATTTGTGGCTTCGTGGCTATTTCAATTATTGTTCTCGGTCGAGCTGTATGTTCTGGTGTGTCTCCCATTTGCAGAACGAGCCGTCAGCAAAGGAAATAGTAAGCTTGGGCCAGTGCGGCTTCAAGGAGGGCGATATCACCCGCATGGAGCGCATCATCTTGGACAAACTGCACTGGGATGTGGACGCGTCAACTCCTCTCACCATCCTCAACATAGTGAGTATGACTATGAATGAGGGCACTTGCAGTGATTATGGCGCTCGTAGTGTGCCTGTTGTCTTTTTGATCTGCGATGCTCAGCTTGGGTATGTTCTGGGTGGGTATGAAAGTAACGTGCTGCAGGTGAGAATGATTTCGTACATATTGTAGATCTACATTGCGTTCGCTCCTGTATCCGTGGAATGCTCTCATCATCCACTTCAAATAATTTGAAGTGGTTGCTCTGTACTACGCCGGAGCCATTGCCAGTGTTCATCGAATACTATTGTTTCGGGTGTGACTTGCTCAAAATGGCTCCTCAGGATCACCTTGCTGTGCGGGTGGGGGCATCCTTCCCTCCTTGTGCGATGTGAAGTGCTCGGTTGGTCGTGTTGTCACAATGTGGGAGTGCAAAACTCCCGTTCACGGTGAGGTGTCGCAGTACTTTTGCTCTTGTAGTCTTACTCAGAGCGATGGACCTGCTCGCAGCTATCCTGCTTTGGCTCGACCGGCTTTGAACTATGCGGTAGTGCCTGGTGTTGTCGCTGATCGCCTGGTTGTTGAACTGTGGTGCGATTGATCGTTGAACCGTGTCCTTTTCACGTCAATCTCAGCTGATGGGTGACAGTCACAAGACGGACTTATGCTCTTGCAGGTGTGCTGTGTGTCCCTCATAGATCTACACACTCAGTAGAGCCACAGTATCCCGTGTAACCTGATTGCGATTGGGCTGACCGGTGCTCACCTGACCAATGATCTGCAAGACTGCATCAGCTGTGGTCTAATTCCTGTGTTTGGAAGAGCACTGTCATCTGTATGCAGCTCTGTCTTCTTTTACCAAAATCATTTCCTGTGTGTTCCTGTTTCTCCTGTTTTGCTCAGCTTCATGCCTTAGCCAGCTCCTGGGGATACTTGTCCTCTTGTGGGTTACCACCTTTGGTTCATCTCGGCAAGGTGACCAACTCCCTGGAGACTTGCATGCTGGATTCGAAGTTTGCCTGCTTCAAGGTAATGATTGTTATTGATGTGGCTGGTGGAATGACTATATGTCGTGTTTGTATTGTCCTAGTAGTTGTGTTTGTGGGTTCTGAGTGCCTTATATAACCTTGCATTGCTTTGCTATTTGTCTTCACAGCCGTCTGCTCTTGCCCTGGCCGTTCTAAGTAATGAGCTGCGCCAGCTGTCAGATTGTGATTGGCTAGATGCAACCATGGAACTTCAATCCTCAGCTTCGGTGAGTTTCTTTACCGTTGTGCTGACTGCCCAGACTTTTTTGAACTGAATGTTGCTTGTTTCCGGACACTGCTTTTAGGAGTCATTGTTTTGTTTGAGATTTTTTTTCGCTTGTTTTCCTGGTTTCGTTTTTGTCTTGCCATCTGCAGGTTAGTGGGCGCACATTGGGCGTCTACTACGAGGCTGTTCAGGCCAGTCAATTCAAGCTCCCTCGCAAGGCTGCTCCGAAACCGGCATTTAGCCGTCCTGCCTTCGTCCCCCGAGCTTTGTTTTCATCTTCACCGTCTGTGAGTAAGTCAGTTCACCCTTTATCTGGTGGTTCTGCAGCTATGACTGTTCCAGCGGCAACACCTGTCAATTCACTACCCTCTAGTCGCGCCATCAGCAGTGACGACGAAATCTCTGATGCGGACTCATCAAGCTCAGATGAAGATGTATCTCATGTAGCACCTCCAAAGCAGCAGCCGCTTGCTGCATCCATCCCATCTGACCTGTCTCTATCTGCAGCTGCTTGTGTCCTGTTGTCTTCATGCGCCAGTGCCGCTAGCCCATGCGCTCTCAGTACTGGCTGTGCGCCTCTAGAACGGCCACACGTGTTGTCCTCACCAGTCAAAGTAGCCTAAATATGACTGTTTTTCTCTCTGTGATCACCCTCCAGTGTAGTCTCTTGCATCCTTTTGTCTGTCTGTGAATTACAATATTGTATAGTGCACCTAAACACCCTCTCATCTTCACATTATCACTTTTTATTCTCATCGTATCGTACCAGAGCACCGTCCCCAACTATTCCTTCCACTCATCGGATTTTCCCCTCCCATATTTGTCTTACCGATCGTTCTAAACCCAGCCCGTTGATTTTTAATCTGCTGTATGTGTATTTTGTGTAGCATAGAGACCTGTGCTTTCATTGTCAAAAAACCCTCCAAAAACAATATATGCAGATCTATAAAATATTTTGATCAGTTGAATACCAAAAAAACATTTGGCCACTCCTAGTACCCACTCGATCCCCATAGGATCGCACACTACGTGTGGAGATTTGTTTTCTCCGCGAGACTTTTTTTAAGATTACAAAAACAGCATCTTGCATTTTATATCCGCTTTTTATTCTAATATTGCTATGTCACTGCACATTAGCTATATATCCACTCTCCACTTGAACACACAGCTGTTGCCAACAAACAATTTTCTATGCCAGACTCGGAAGAGATTCTTGGTGATGATGATACCAGTTGATGGTTGTTTTGTGTCTGGTGCTCTCCAGTTAGACCAAAACCTACTTTGGTGGTGGATGCAACTGCCTTGTGCAGTTGTCATGGTTGTGGTACAACCACTGCTTGTAACGGACATGCAGACCGGAAGATTTTTTTGGTGTGGGTGCTTTGTTTCCCCAGCATCATAATGTTCACGGATCCTGCCACACATGCACCCTAAAACTCTGTTTGAAAACTGGAAAGCCACATATTTCATGCCCGAAGTCTTGCAACATCAACATATACATACTACATACACATACACACACATAACAGCTCGCATGTACTCCATGGGTGAGATCACCCATGGGGCTAACGCATCTGTCGGCAAAAGAGTT